CAGGGTTCACAGCCTGGGAGTGCTCCTCGACCCTGAGCTGTCATTAGCAGCTCAAATAACAGCGGTGGTGAGGAGCACTTGCCTTCAGCTTTGGCTGATCCATCAGCTGCGTCCCTACCTGGAGAACGATTGCCTGGCGACAGTGACACATGCATTGGTAACTTCCCGATTAGACTTCTGTAACACGCTCCACGTGGGGCTGCCCTTGCAGATGGTCTGGATACTTCAATTGGTGCAAAATAGAGCTGCCAGGTTGCTGACGGGGACTGGGCGTTATGTTCACATGACTCCACTTCTCCGTCAGCTTCACTGGCTCCCCATTGAAGTCCGGGCCCAATTCAAGGTGTTGGTTATCACCTATAAAGCCCTCAACGGCTTGGGCTTGGGACCTGGTTATCTAAAGGAGCGCTTGTGTCCATATATGCCCTCCCACCCCCTGAGATTGGCGGGGGAGGCCCTTCTCTGGGAGCCCTCTGTGAAGGATGTTAGGAGGGTGAGTACCCAGAGGAGGGCCTTCTCTGCAGTGGCGCCCAACCTATGGAATGCGCTCCCCAGAAAGGTCCGTCTGGTGCCGTTGTTATTTGTTTTTTGGCACCAGGCCAAGACCTTTTTATTTAAATGATATTTTACTTGTCAACTGTTGCTTTTATTTATTGATTTTATGATGCAGCCGAGATGCTCTGAATTTTTAATGTTTATTCTATGTTTGTTTTATCCTGCTTTGTAAGCCGCCCTGAGGCTTTCTGCGATGGGGGCAGCATAAAAATGTTATGAATGAATGAATGACAAGACTTCTGAATCCTAGATATGAAAATATTATGATTGGATCCATTCACACCAGGGGCATCCTGCCAATTACTCACTCCACTCAGGGGTGTCTTAACAGCATGATGGGCCCCGGGCAAAGCAGTGCACTGGGGCCCCTACGACAACTACAACTACTGTTAATTTTGGCAGTTTTCCCATTTTCCAAGGGTTAACATACACAGATTAGTATGGGGCCCACGGGCAAGTGCCCACCAGGCCCATGCATTAAGACGGCCCTGACTCTGCTATCAGCCAACTGTGTCATGCTCCCAGCAGTACCAGGATCTTCAGCCAACTTTTCTCATGGATCTGGACGCTGCACCATTATGATTATGATTAGTTTGTTTAATTTCTGTATGCTTCTGTCCAGTAGCTGAAGCTTTCTGGATCATTCACAAAGTACTTTAAAAACATATTATAACATAATTAAAAGTCAACAATATAAAATTTAAAACCAAATTTAAACACACACACACACACACTTTATAATACATATAACTTTTAAAAAAACCTTTAACCCTGGTTAACAGCTAGCAGGCTCCAGTAAGCTACTTAAATGCCCTGCAGTAGAGGGCAGTACTTACCTGGTGCCAGGGAGAAAATAAAGTTGGCACCAGGCATGCCTGCGTGGGGAGTTTGTTTCATAACTGGGGAGGCACCACTGAAAAGGCCCTTCTCCTTGTTACCACTATCTGAGGTAGCAGTTGGGGGGGGGGGGACGGATCTTGATTACAGTGTCTGGGTAGAGGCATTCTGTCAAGTATCATTGTCCCAAGCCACATAAGGCTTTATAGGTTAAAACCAGCCACTTGTATTAGATTCAGAAGGATATAGAGAGCCAGTACAAGCAAGCCAGCATTGGTATTATATGATCAGATCATCTGATCCCTGTTTTTAGTCTGGCTGCTGCATTTTGCACAAGCTGCAGCTTCCACACAGGGCAGCCCTGCATAGAGTGCATTGCAGTGATCAAGCTTAAAGATTACCGGAGCATAGATTACTGATATCTCTGCTCAGATTGTAGCATAGCTGTGCCAACAGACAAAGCAGGCAGAAGCCGCTCTGATAGCCACTGAAGCCAGCTGGACCTCAAGTGACAAAGTCAGCTCAAGGAACACCCCAAAGCTGCAAGCCTGGTCCTTCAAGGGCAGTGCAACCCCATCTAGAACATTTCAGCCATCTGGTCAAAAAACCCCCACCCACTAATAGCATCTTGGACTTGTTTGGATCGAGCTTCAGTTTGTTAGCCCTCATCCAGTCCATTGTTATGGCCAGGCAACAGCCTCACCTGCTGAACATGAAAAAGAGAGCTGTGTGTCTCTTTTTCCATCAAGCACTGAGCTCCCAGGTGTGTAGGGCTTTATAGTTAAAACCAGCACCTTGGATTGAGTTTCGAAGTTTATACACAGCCAATGGAAGCAGGCCAGAATTGGTCTTAAATGTTTGGACCTTCTCGTTCTAGTTATTAGTCTAGCTGCTGTATTTTACACAAGCTGCTGCATCAGAACTGTCTGCAAGGGTAGCTTCTCATTGCTGTAGTCTAGCTTAGAGATTACAGGGATTACTAAAACCAGGCTGTCCCTGTTCAGATAAAGGCATAGCTGGGCCACCAGCCAAAGCTGGCAGAAGGTGCTCTATCCTACTAAGGCCATGAGAGCCTCAGGTGACAGAGATGAAGAAAAGGACAGGTAAGTCCTGTAACTGGAATGCAATCTGCAGTTTTCTAAATCATACTCCTACATCCTGATAGAAAGATCATGAAGCTAATTTCAAGTGTTGCTATTATAAAGTTGCTCCCAACATAGCTTTCTCCCTCTTAGTTGCAAAAATCCAAAATTCTAATCTTGATATTATGGATTATATGTATTTCATTTGTTGTACATCATTGTTAATATGTATCTGTCTGCCTGTCTATTTATACACAACATAGATCCTGCCTTTGAATAGGATATGTAATTTAGCTGCCAATGGTAGTAACTGTTGCTAGATGCAGATTCTATGAAGTACTTCCTGCTCAATGTTTCACATGAGTTCAGATAATAGAAGACAGATTAGGAAGTAATGTGAATACCAATATTTAACATGAATAATTTCATAGCATCTTTTTGGGAAGCTACTAGAAACTATATAAGACGTGAAGCTTACTGCATGTATTTGTGTGTGTTACATGGCCAGTATCTTACTGTGGCCATAGACTCACTGAAGTGACCACATGCGGAATGGGGCTTTTGCACTTTTAAAAATAAATGGAAATAGGAAGTTCTAATTTCCATTACAGGGTTTCTCATTGGAACTTGCTAAAGAGTTCTCCACTGAGGACTCCCAAACAAGCGCTCACTTCCATACTAATTTTTGGAAGCACAAAAGGCTTTTGTGTGGACTGTTGCTCCTGTGAGTTCAAGAGAAACAGAATGGCCCCTTTGGATATTGCCATATATCTGTAACCAGGCAGATTTGCCTGTCCACCTGCAGCACCATTCCAAATGTGCTGCAGATGAAAGGGAAAATCCCATTGCTGTTTACAGAAATCTACCTGCACAACAATGGATGTAGCCTATATGTAGATAAATGAAAGCCTTCAGCAGGTAATTGCCCATTATTAATTTAACTGTGAAGAGCAGTACTCGTGGTGTTTCAGTGAAGCACATTATATAGTTCATGCGACAGTGGACCTTTGGGGTACAGTATCCATTTATCTGAAGTGGCAGTAAAATGGGTAGGCAGTCTGAATTGAATAACTAATTGTTTTATGGGTCAGGGAATACCAAGAGACAGGTATTCATATCAAAAGCACTGACCTATCAAGTTGGCTGTAGAGCTGTTATTAAGATAAATGCCATGTCCCAGCAAAGGATTAAATAAAGTACATTACTCTCAGTTATTTTTCCTTCGCTTGCATATTTGTATTGTATTGCCTGTATTTGTGCTTTTAAGTTCTTGATACCAACCAAGGTTGCACAACCATTTTGGTCCCAAGGGCACATCAGAAGCCACACCTGAACACATTTGCACATGGGAAAATGTGTGTGTGAACAAACAATGAACAAGCTAAAGGATGTCCTTGCTGGTGCTGTCACTGGACAAGGCTTATCACCAGCAAAACTTAAGCTTGTTTATTTGAATTCCACCTCACAGCTTATTCTGACTTATATTCACATCTTCTCATGTGTTTTGTTTTTATTTTCAAAGAATTCATTTTTGTGCACATTTTTCCAAATGTGCATATAAGTTGCATGGATTTTTTGAAATGTACACGTTTTCCTTACTCATTGAAGGGTATTTGTGTGCATTTTTAAAAGTGTATTTTTCATGTGTATCATGTGTACACATTCTTGAGCACTTCCTCCCCACCCCTGTGTATCACACTGGAAGCTCAGAAAATGTATGGATTTTGACCACAGCCTACCTTTGGGTTCTCTTTTCTATTTAGGAGGTTCAAAGTTAATAGCTTAAGGTCTCTCAAGAGAACAATTAATTCATCTTTTTGTCTCTCACTGTGTGTTATATTTCAAACAGTTTGATACGGCCTTAGGAGCATTTTATGTGAGCCACTATAGGCTTGTGAGCAAGCAGTGATAAGATTTTCTACTTTGTAGCCACTTGTTATTTCATTTAATAACATTTAGTGCTGACACTGGGCTGAGTATCTTACTAGTCAACCTTCCTTTACCTTTTTTAGTTATGTGCCATTGGCAGGGTATATTTGGGTGTGTGCCACTGGAAATTATCTGGCTACATGGTGCAGAGATCATTTCCTCACTTGTAATACTATTAATCTGGCATTTTTCCTATGTATTCTTACTGTATTATCACAATAATTCTTCCATTTACTCTGTCATCTGGGCTGTTACTTTTTCCCCATATTACAGAAAGGAATGGGGTTGAGAGACAGTAGCTTGCCTCATCCTGGGCCACGAAGTGAGTGTATAGCAGAGTTGAGCTTTGAACCTGGGATTGCCCAGCACAAAATACATGTTCCTACTAGCAGGATTAATCCACCAGCTCACCAAGCTATAGCACTGTAACATGGCTCTGAACTATTGCACAGAGCTATTGCACAACTGTTTTGGAGAGAGAGAGAGAGAGAATGTGTATGTGCTAATTTGTAATTTGTGGACGTCTGGATGAGAAGTGAAGGCTAGAAGCTGCTGGTATAGCTTCCTTGATGGTATATATATTTCTTCTTGCTGCAGATCTAATGCATTTGAAGTACTGGCACTCGATGGAGTTAGCACTGGGATACTTCAGTTTTGTACAGCCCAGGAGAGTGCTGACTGGCTGAGAGCATTATCAACTAACATCAGTGATTTGACACAACAAAATGTATGTTGTTTTCTGGATATGTATTTTCCTCTATCTATCTATCTATCTATCTATCTATCTATCTATCTATCTATCTATCTTGAATGATTCAAAATAATTTTTCCACCTGTCCAAATTCAGCAGGGTATGTTATATGTAAAACAAAACAATTAACTTGTTTTGGGGAAGCATTTCCACCAAAATAGTGTGACTAGCCATCTTTACAGCAGAGGGAAGATATTACTCACTTGTGTAGTGCAAGGAATAGCATCAGTAAGAGTGTGCAGTGTAATTGCCCTAAGGACTGTTGCTTATATTTCTTATATGTTCTCCCTGGAATAAAAGGTAGAGATTCATAGATTTTCAGTTGTGTAATTTCATGTTCTCTTTCCCTGTGCATAATCCCTTATTCACATATAGTCACTAATATCATTCCTGCTCAGAATGAAACAATATGTTACATCATTCACACTGTTTAAAAAGTATACTCAGACAGCCTAATTCAAGAAAAAGCAACCATGAGGCCCCACTCCCAGACAATCTCAATCTCACTGGGATGCTGGGCCAGTGTTCTGCTAAAGCCCCCCCCCCCACATGACTGCCCCCAAAACAGCATCTTTGAGGCAAATAGCAGCCAGGAAGGGAGCTATTTTCAGCAGGAAACCGCCATGGAGCCCTGATGCAAATTGGAAGCAGGTTTCAGATAAAGGCTGCTTTTGGGTGGTTAATATCAGGGATAGTTTTGTCCACAGATCTGATATTCACATAAGGTGTATAATTCGCTGTATTTATAGATTTTGCTGTGAGCCATCCAGAGATGAAAATGATTGGACGGGCTAGAAATATCCATAAATAAATAAATAAATAAATGACCGCGGATGAGCACAGCAGGAGCTTCTGACGCTTTCCCTTGCTTAATCCTCTCCCACCTATACTGCACAGACCATCTCTTCTAAGAGTTTGTATGCTGACAGCTTTTAATTCTCCCAAATCAGTGGCATGTTCATAAATATTCCATAACACCTCAGCAAGTAAATAACTAGAATGGCTTGGGCATCAAAAGAGATAAACCATATCCAATCTCCTAAGTATTTCTCAGAAACACAGCTTCTTTGTCTATGTCAGAGTTTTTCTTTTTCCTATTTTTCTACAAATCAATATGCTGTGAGTTTTAATTTGATACCTCATTTATCTCTTTGCAAATACATTGTTTTTGACTTTAACTTGTTTCACAGACCTTCACGGCTCCAAGTACCAGTCTGGCTTATTTAATTTACCAATCCAGAACAGTAACAGAAATGCAATATAAGGAGTAGAATCCTCTAAATGTTGCTAACATTCATTCATTCATTCAATGTTTGTTTGTTTATTATATTTCCAATCCACCCAATAACAAATGTTATTTGAACAAGTTACAACAGTTAAAAATCTAAAATGCCCTAGAACAATTTAAAAGAATAAAATAAAGCACAATACTTAAAATAATAAAATACAATACAATGCAAAACAGTAAACAGCACAAGACTCAATAAAACAGCAATAAAATATAGAACTAGGTCTCTAAAATGTACGCAATAAAAGAATGGTCATTGCATTGCTGAAAAGGTAATAGTATAGGTGCTAGGTGAACTTTGGGAACAACATTTGCTACGTAGGGTGCCACAACCGAGAAGGCCCTTACAGGTACCCATCTGGCTTCCTTCAGCAACAGCAGTAGGCAGAGGGCCTTGCAAGACAACCTAAGCATCTGAACGGATACATGTGGAAGAAGATTTATTTTTATTTATTTATTTATTTAAGCGACTTATATGCCACCCCATTGCATGTTCCTTTAGTAAGGATCCTAAGTTGTTTAGGACTTTCAACATCAACATCAACACTGACACTTTGAATTTAACTTGGAAATGGACTGGAAGTCAGTGCAGCTGACAAAGCAGTGGCATCACATGATCGTATTGACCAATTTCAGCTGTATTGCGGCTGTATTTTGAACTAACAGAAGTTTCTGAACCCCTTCTAAGCTAAACCCATGTACAGTGCATTGCACTATTTCAGTTGGGAGGCTACCAGAACATGGATAATTGTTGTCAGAAGAACTCTGTCCAGATAAAGTCACAGTTGGTATATCAGCTTAATAAAAGTTGCTCCTGAGGCTCTAATGACAATAATGGATAGTAGAGCATTCCCAAGCTGAATGCTTGATCTTTCGGGAAAGCACAAGTCTCTCCAGGCCAGATGAACAACCTGCTAACAATGCCTCCATCTTGTGTGGATTGAGCTTCAGGTTGTTGGCTCTCATCCAGTCTGCTACCCTGCTCACGAACAAATTCAGGACAACCACTTATTTATTTATGTATTGTGTTTATATCCTGCCTTTTTTCTCACAAAGAACTCAGAGTGGCTTACATCGTTTTCCTTCTCCTGCTCTCAGTCTTATCTCCTAACCCTAACCCTTTTAACAACAGCCTTGTGAGGAGGCTGGGCTGAGAGTGTGTGATTGGTCCAACGTCAGCAGTTGGTTCCATGGCTGAGCAGGGCCTGGAACCCAGATCGCCTAAGGCCCCTTCCACACTCATAGAACCTCTACACCACACTTCCCTATCTGAATTTGATAAAAAGGAAAGAGAGATTTGGGTGGCAGCTCAGTTAACATTCCCAGATAATGTTTCCCAGCAGTTTCAGGTAGATTTTAAATAGCATGGGTGATAAAACTGAGCTCTGTGCATGATGTAATGGCCACAGAGCACAGCAGTAATCCCCCAGCACCATCTTCTGGAAGGAACTGTCCAAGTATGAATGGAAACACGGTAAAACAGTGTCCCCAACTCCCAATCCAGGCAGCTGCTCCAGAAATATATTGAGCAATGGTATCAACAGCCACTGTGAGGTCCAAGGGAAACAACAGGTTACGCTTCCCTTGTCTCCCTTGACCCAGGGCAAACAAGGCAGTTTTGATCTAAAACTAGACCTAAAGTGTATTGAAATGAATCTATAAAACCAAATTTTCAACTTTCTGAATCATATTCATGCTGAATTCGTACCAGAATCTCCTTGGTCTAACTCTGGTCTTCCTCTTCATTATATGTGTTTAAGCAGAAGCTGAACCTAATTTATCTACAGTTTAGCATGTGGTTATTTCATGATCTCGCCTGATCCCACACCAAGGTTCCCTTGTCCTTTCTTTTTGATGCATGGCACCCACCCATTTCACAGGTGGACACAGCAACTGTACACCAAAGAGCAGAAATGGTGGTGATAGCGGTTGTTAAATTGCTCAGAGATATTTTTCTTCTTTTCAAATTGTCAGAGACAATTTTGCATTCAAATAGCCAGTTACTTGTCATAATGTAGTCATTTTTCACCATAAATTTCAGTATTAAAACTTGTAAAACTAAGCCTCTTGTGTATTGCACATGCTGTCATGACATCTCACTGTCTGGAAACAACTTTTTCCAGCAACCAGTCTGAGTCTCTGTGATAGGATAGGATTAATAAACTAACAATCCAGCATCTTTTAGGGCAAGAGCAGCTGGTCTGCCTCCAGGATTGCACTGCTGTATCAGTTCCTGGAAGAATATTTGTGTCATAGTTTTGCAATACTCAATTTAAGTATGTGCAGTAAGTGGAAGTGAGGCATATGGTACATTCCTTCTGCCTGCCAGAATCCTACTACATCTACTGGTGGCAAGATGCCTTCTTCTTACCAAGCAAGATTTCCTTCACTATGTGTGCTAAAATGGAATCAAGTGCATATGCTAATGTGTGTATAGGTTAGTTTGAATGAGAAAGACATTGCACAAATGCAATATGGTCTAGATACATATAAAATAGCAAATTATGAAAGAGCTGTAAGAAATGCATTTTTTCTGATAATTATCGTCTCAGCTACAAGAATCTGGTCACAAGAACCCAAACACAGGTATGGGAGCTCGAGGCTACCTCGTCCATTTCAATAGAACCAGAAGCTCAATGTGTGGATTATTTTCTGTGCACCATTTTACTGTCCTTGTTGAAATGAAAATGCTTATATGTTCAGGGATCACCAGGAAGTCCTAAAGGAATGGCTTGATTTTTAAAAAGCCAAATGCACTAGCAAACAAATTGCATTTCCTCTCCCACATTCCTACCCTATCCTAAAATGTTTGGGCCTGGGATAAGTCTCATGCAGAGTATTTGAAGAGAGCTAACTGTAGGCCGATGGATATTCTGGGCTTCCTTGAGCTGGCACAGTCAAGAATTATACTGTTCTCATTAGGCACAAGGCTGAGTAGCTTTCCTGTGCCATACTCTTGGGCTGTGCCAGGAATTGCATAATTCTCCTTCAAAAGACTGGAGGGCTTCTTCCATTATGCCCACATGAGGTTCTCTGGGGATTATATACATGTTCAGTTATATCCATGGAGTTTCTGCATCCTTAAACCTCTTGCTTACTTCTGAATGATAGTTGCTAGTCAAACGGAGGTTGTTTCTCTCACATCTTGCATTTAGTTTCTCTGGTCGGAAAACAGGATGGTAGATTAGATATGCCTTTATTTTGACCTAGCAGGATCTTCTTATGACTATTTCTCATGTTTATTTCTAAGGTATTTCAGTTCAGTTTGATTTCAGCTCAATTTTCTCATCCTAATATCTGTAAGGCTCTTACTATTGTGCTATGTCTGTGAAGTAAAGGGAGAAAAGCGCTGTGTTACTAGCAACTTTATTCTTCCTATAACCATCTTTCTGTCTTTAGAAAGTGTTTCTGAATCTTCCAAAAGTTTGGCCCCTCTTATTAAGTAAAGATAACAAAAGCTATTTTTCTAACTTAAGTTGTGGTGTTTTGCTTTCTTTCTTAAAGGCACTAAGTTATCACTATTGAAGCTGAGCACTTGTGAGGAGCCACGATTGTAAACTTTATCAATTGGTTGATGGAGTATTTATATCGGCAAATAAATGTTCCAGCAGATTTAAATTGGCTTTATTGAAACAATGTAATCAAATTGTGATTACTTTCCATTGATTGGACGAATAGCAGTCTGGTT